AATTCACAAGCAAATTCAAGAAAAAAAATCAATTTTAATTTTCATGACTTCAAAAGAAAATTTATAAAATAATAAAAAACATCTAAAATATCTATTTCAAACTATTTTTTAAAATCACAATAATAAGAAAATTTATTTTTTATAATAACCTTTCCTATTTTTCAACTCTTACATAAAAGATCGTCATTTAAGTTAATTGTAAAATTATTTTTTGAATTATGAAAACAAATACATCCTAAAATGAGAGAATCATAGAATTCTTACTCCAAAATTTCAATTGGGAGATTTCTTCGATGAAGAAGAGAATTTGGTGAAAAGCGAAGATTTTTATTAAATTTATAAATTTAAACATGTGTATTGTACATGATGATATTTTTATTTGTTTTTTTTTTTACATTAAAAAGAATAAATCTTCACTCTTCACCAAAATATCATTATTCGCCGTAACATTATCCCGCCAATTATTATGTTTTAAAATTCATATAAATGTATTATTGTGTTACGTTGATTTCAATTCACAAGAAATTCTAATGGAATTGTTATATTTATTGCAGAGGCAAGAAGTGGCACAATGCATGGGACTAATAGTGGCGGAACGAAGCCTTTCTGCGGGTATTTGCCAGCCTGTATTAAGACACAGTGCAAAGCATTTTGTTTCGCTCATAAGCATGCTATTGGTGTATGTACGGGGCCTATAGGCACTGACTTATGTTGCTGCAAAGATAATTGATTAGTGCTAATAAATCTAATTAAATTCTCTTCTCATTGTGTTGTTCACAACACATTATTATGTATTCCGTGGTTAAAATAAGCAATAGAATTTATAAAATAAATTAAAGGTTATACAAGTTTTTCTTTTACGTGATATACATGATTACCAATTGAAAAACTAATTTTATTACTCCTTTCTTACCCAAAATACAGAATTGAAATATTCACGTGAAAAAATTTCATCCGAAAATTGCATTCTGAATATTGAGATCGCGTCTTTTGACATCATGTGCTATGACATGATATATATTAGGTGTGATTGTCGCGATAGTATATCTATTAACATAATTATTTTTAAGAGTATTTTTAAAATTTTTCGTTACTTTTATATAGTTACAGAAAAATAAACTTATGCATAAAGTTGGTTAAAAGATAGTGATTTGTTGCAAAAATTATTAACACACAATGACACAATATTTATATTTTAGCAAAGAGTAATGGGATGTTGTATATACAAACATATAGTAATGGTTGCTAGAGAGAATAGCCTTATTAGTTATCAAATCAGAGTTGCTAGCACAAGGGGAGGGTTTCATAGAGGGTTACTTAGATTCATGGGTTGACAATGATACAACCACCAATTGTTGCCATTGGAAACGAGTTAAATGCAACAATAAGGCTTCTTCATCTTAATCACTGCTGCAAGTTACGGATCTTTTCCTCAGAGGTTCAACGCTAGTTGGTCATAGGTGGAAGTTTAAAATTTCTTTGGTTGGTCCATTTCTTAGGTGGAAGTTCAAGACCTCCCCAATCAAAACAAAAAATATAATGGGGTGTTCTCTGTAAAGTCTTTTTTGCAGATGTTCTATAAAAATAAGGAATAAGCTAAACGGTTGATACAAATATGTATAATTTTATAAAATCGTTGTGGAAGAACTTGGTCCCTCAGAAGTTGAGTTGTTAACCTAGTTTATCATATTAGAGAAATTAAATACACGTGAGAAGTTGGCAAGGTGTGGTATAATAGAAAGGCAAATGACAGAATGTGTTCTCTGTGATTCAGATGATGAAACGGTTCACCACCTTTTCTTTCAATGTATATATATGCATGGAAATTATGATGTAATGTACCGAAATGGTGGGATGTTAAATGGGTTTGACCTAGAAATGCTAAGGATTGCTTTGAGACATGAATGTCCAGTAGGTGCAACAAAGTAGAGTTAAAAAGCTGGGGAATGTACTTCTTTCCTGTAATTTGGTCAGTCTGGATCATAAAAAATAAAAAGGTCTTCAAGAGTGTCAACATTTCAATTGAACAAGCCATAAGTAAAGTCATTATATTCCATAACCAATGGATACATAACCAAAGATGCTGCACAAACTTGACTGTAGGGCTTGGTTTGTTTTAATGTTTTAATGCGTTAGTCTGGAATTGGTTTTAGGTTACTATATATACTGCATCTATTCTGTTTTGTTATTGTAAACTTACAAGATTAGTTGTTACAACCTCTCACCGACCCACTTGGGTTTCTTTGGTGACAAAACAAAGGATCGAAAGAAAAAAAAAAAGTTAGTCTTAATCTACCAAAAATCACTTATAATAGTTGAAAAAGGAAAAGGACAAAAGAAAAAAAAAAAAAAGAGACATATAAAAAACAAAAGTTAGACTTGGATGAATATAATAGTTGAAAAAGAAAAAGGAGAAAGCTAAAAAAGAGGAGACCTATAGAAAACAAAAGGCAGATTTGGATAAATTTGATTGATAAAGAGAAAGGTTAAATGTATAATTTTTTTTAATAATATTATTAGAAAATATTATCTATTAATTAGAACATATTTTACTGTAAATAACGCAACTCTTAATAAATATATTATTTGCTAATTTAAATAAATATATAATCATAATTCAATTAAACATTTCATTTCATGTAATTATATTGTTTATTGCAAATTTTCTTCGTACTTTTTAGTAGAATAAAAAAGATTTTTTTTCATCGTTCTAAATTCACCAATAGACCCAACATGGATGAGAAATAAAAGATTTTTTTAATAAAAGATTTTTTCTTTAATTTAAACACATCCAATGCTCAATCTTTTCTCTTTTAGTACGCAAGTTTTTTTTTCCCTTAATAAACTGAAGTAGGGAAAAGACCGGAAAACCTCTATTGATAGTGTGTTAGGACATCATAGTTTAACCTTTGGCTTTTTTAATTTTAATTTGGGTTTTTTATTGAAATTTCAAAACTAAAAATGTGAAAGAATATTAAAAAAATCTATATTCCTCAACGAAATTAAACATCCATGTATATATGTATGTTGTCAAAGTCGGTTGCTCTAATAGTTTGTTAGATAATTTAATTTAAAAAGGCTGATTTTCTTCTCCTGTAAGTAATATATTGTAGTTAAGAGGATTAAAAGAAATAAATATTTAGAATAAAAAATATTAATTAGTCAAAGTAAATATTTAATGTATTGCTAATTACTTTATATTGCCCATGCGAGAATGCGAGATAGCAAAACTTATAACCCCGTATTTATTATAGCAAGACTCAATTACTTTTATCATAATTAAAATATTATATTAGCTAGGTTAATTTATTTTTGAACCACCCTATAAATAAACTGAACAATAAGGTGAATTATTTATTGTCTTTCAAGAAATCAAAAAAGAAAAAAAAAAGGTTATTTTAGCAGGATGGCTACTAATGATAATTCAAAACTTCTATTGTGCTTTCTTCTCATTACTTTACTTTTCACTTCAGGTAACGAAATTTGTCTTAAATCTTAATTAATTAGTTGTCGTTAAAAAAAAAATTCATGCTAGAACCTTTTGTTGGGAGTTTTTTTTATTCTCTCACACTAAAAATCTATCTTTTAGCGTGTATATAAATATATTAAGAATCATACAAGCTATAATAAATTAATAATGTCATGTTATGAAATTATTTATATTATAAGTTTAAAATATTATAAACTTTATAATGCTTCTTTTGTTTCAAATTTCATTTCATAACTTTGAATGAGCATGTTTTCAACTTTTTCTAAGAAAAAAAATCAATTTTAATTTCCATGACTTTAAAACAAATTTTATAAAATAATAAAAACATCTATATGTTTAAAATCTCCTACAAATTTATTATTGAGTTACGTTAATTTTAAATAAGGGTGTGCGCACATCGGATCGGATTAAGATCCAACCGCTAAAAAATGAAAAAAAAAACTAATTTTAAGGGAAAAAAACAAAAAATATAATAATACAAAGCTCATTTTTCAATATATTTTCTTATATAATATTAAATCAACAAACTCAAATTAATAAAAATTAAAAATAATGAACATATATTAAAAAATTGATATAAAAGTTATAAAAACATGTAATAATATATACTTTTATTATTTATTTAATAATATGTAAATTCACGGATCATTGGATCGGATCGGCGGATGACCACCTGATATCCGCGATCCGTACCTGTCAATGTACGAATCAAATCCGATTCGATGATTGTGCAATTCGAATCCACAAATATCCGGATCGGATTCGTTTTTTTTCTTTTTTATGGATATACGGATATAATCCGACGATCCATGCACATCCTTAATTTTAATTCACAAACAAATTCTAATGTAACTGTTGTGTTTATTATTATTAATGCAGAAGCAAGAAGCGACACAATGTATAGGACTAATAGTGACGGAACACGTTTTTGCAAGTGGATGTCAACCTGTTATGATGCAGGGTGCAAAGCATTTTGTATAGCTAATAATCATATTAATGGTGTATGTACGGGGCCTTCAGGCTCAAATCTATGTTGCTGCCAATAAAGATAGTTGATTAGTGCTATACCTAAACTTATTAAATTCTCTTCTCATTGTGTTTGTTCATCACAACACATTATTATGTATTCCGTCGCAGTTAAAATAAGCAAGAGAATTTATTATAATTAAAATAAAAGTTATACAAGTTTTTTCTTTTAATTTGTGTGATATATATGATTGTTATTACCTATTGTAAAAGCTAATTTTTTTTACTCCTTTCTTACCCAAAAAATATATAAGAGAGATTATTCATGTGTATATAAATTGAATAAGTAATAATAATGCTTTAACCACCCAGAAAATATTTTTTTTCAAAGCTTAATTATTGGTTATTTTATGAATATATGAAACGTTGAGTTTTAAAATAAAATTTCCTTTTATAGATTTGAAACTAAAAATATATATATATATATAATCTAAATTAGTGTTGATCATATTAATATAGTCAGTATTAAATCCAATATCAACTAACTTGTCTAGCTCAGTTGATAGAGCGTAAAGCCCTTAACCTTGTGGTTGTGGGTTTGATCCCGTTTTGGGCGATAATTATTAATATTCTCTATTCAGTTTTCTCTCACGTTGATAAAATATTTTCTTTCGCTGAATTTCACATAATGAAAAAACTCTATTTTTTAAGAAATTGTAAATAGAATTAATCAGGCATATAATGTTTTTGAAATAAATCTTTTTGCTGCATTCTTTTTAAAGAAAAATGAATTGGGTCTTATCTGAATGCAAATTAAAATTTCTAAGAGCAACAATTTACATATCCATTTGTAGAACAATTTGCTAAGTTGTGTTATTTCCTTTATTTAAGAAAAGTTTGTTTAATTGCACAAGAATATATAGGTAATTATACACCTATCCAAGCTATGAAGTTTAGCCATGGAAAATCAACTTCTTAAGAGATTCATTAATCGATGAGGACCATTAATTCCCATTTGTGAAATATTATTGTGCATGGTATGTGATTTCATTTTCTCAACGAAACCTAATGCACAAACTTAAAAAGTTTACTAGTCCCAGTCTTCACGTGAGGCAAGGAAATATTCATAGCTACCATTCACGTGCGCGTTAAATTAAGTAATAACAACATTGTCATTAAGTTATTATTTTCCTAGGTCTACTATGATTAATTGATTATGGTGTAGTCCATCACTAGAATACTGACGACTAAAATTGGAGTGAAATCAAGACTGCTCTAAAGTTAATAAGTATGAATTCTCTCGAAATTTCTGCTATATTTTAACTGAGTTGATTAATATATAATATATTTAAGAGAAGTTATGCGATATAAATATAAATTAAAAGATATTTATTTATAATATAGATTTTACATTTTTTTAGATCATGTTATTGATCTCAATCCAAAGCGAGAGCAATTATAATGCAATAGTCGAAAATTGGTCAACTCCTTGAGCCAACCTCAAACTACTCGCCACAAACATCACAAGAAAACAAGCATAAGATTCAACAACTCAGCATGCAAAATTGCTGAATTTGATAGCTAATTGCTGACCAAAATTTATAAATGGTGATGTTTCTTTAGCATTGCTCGTTTATAACAATATTGTCTTTTATTTTATTTGGTTATTTGTCTCTTTCATATTTTACAAATTTTTTCTTCATTTTTACACCTATTATCATATAAAAATAATACTTTAAGTTATAATAATAACACTTAATTTTTATAATATAAAATTTTAATTTTCGGTCTGTCCGACACCGAATTCTTGAATCGGCCCTGGATATTATTGAGTACTAACATCATAGTTTAAGATAGTTATTAAGTATACCGGTGAGAGGCTTGATACTAAAAAGATGATTGGTGAAGTGGCAAGAACAGCACTAAAATGGGAGAGGGAGTGGAAGGAAAGGAAGCAGGAAATGAAGAAATAGAAATGGGTGACATCTTGGTAGGAGCATCATGGGCTGACCACTGAGGCTTGAGCACTGATGCAGGGCCATGGAAAGGGATAGAGGGTTTCATAGTGCTTGTTGTGTTTTGGCCCCTACTTTGGCACTGTAATGAGCTTTGATTTGTGTTTGTTCTTTTTGGTTGTTTCTTTTATTCTCCTCTGTCATGGGATGTAATGAACCTCTTAACTATAAAAAAAAAAAAAAATTATACCGGTGTATCAGTATATCTGTAATCTGTAACCATTGATTTTGATTTATATATATTTTAAATTTTTTAATTAAATCAGGGTTACAGAATACAGACATACCAGTACACCGGTATACTTGAAAACTTTCCCATAATTTAACCTTTGGTTTGTTAATTTTTATTTGGGTTTCTTTATTGAAATTTCAAAACTAAAAATGCCAAAGAATATTAATAAAAAATATATGGTCTTCAACGAAACATCCATAACTAAAAGAGAAAAATATTTACTGGAAAAAACATTTATAAGTCAAAGTAAATATTTATTGGATTTGACTTTACCTTATATTCCCCATACGAGGTAGCAAAACTTATAACCCCATATTTATTATAGCATGACCCAATTAATTTTGTCATAATTAAAATATTATATATTAAGTTAATTTATTTTTGAACCATCCTATAAATAAAGGAAACAATAAGGTGAATTATTCATTGTCTTT